ATAGGAACCATTATAATGGGAAAAGAGTTTTTTATTTATTTGTCACATTATAGGAACCTTTATAATAAAAAAATAATCTTTTATTTACTTTCACATTATAGGAACCATTATAATGGCAATGGGGTCTTTTATTTACTAAACATATTAAAAGAACCTCTATGATGGGAAAAGCAACATTTATGTATGTGTCACTTTATATTATAATGAGAAATGTGTCTTTTATTTAATTTCACATTACAGGAACATTTCCTAAAAAGCATCTTACTCAATGAAGTGCAAAAAAATAAAACAATGATAATAATAATAATAATAATAACTCAGGCTTTCTAATTGGGTGTGGTAACATAGATAACAATATACACAAAACTCCTACCTAAATATAATAGTGAGTTCCAGCCAAAAATTCTTTGAAGGTTATCATATACAATATACACTTCAAGAAGAATTGAAAACATACCAACTGAAACCTTTCGTTAAACGTTTCAGACATTGAAGTTTTTTTTATCTAATCATTTACAGACAGAAAAGAATCTGTTTAATAGATATTTGTCGGTCTTAACCATCTTTGATAGCTTACAAGATTCATGGCTGACACAATGAAGATCTAACTAGAATGAGGGAAAGGGTTGGGAACATAATGCTCCACTCGTATTCCACAGAGGGAAGATCCTGCATGTCTGCTTTGAAAATCAGCATTCTCAATATTACAATTTAAGCTGGGGGCAAACAGCAAATCTTGGCACCAGTGGAAAATGCATACATAATTATTTCCGTTATGAGACAAGTGAAAATGATCCACTGTCATGGATGATAGGTGAATCCATAATTGAAAAACCTGTAGAAAACATCTTGCAACATATGACCATCTGGTGTGGCTAAAAAATAAAGTTATTTTTTCCTAAAAAAAATAGAGATATGTTTTATACGTTTAAGTTAGTCTGGCACAAATTGGTTGGTTGGTTGTTCTTGTTTAGAGGCATATCAATACCTCTATGGGTCATTTAATGCTGAAATATAAATATTTTGTATGCAATTTTATTTATTTATTTTTTTGAGATAATTGTTTTTATTGATAGTCTTACTAATTAACCCATAGCTGTGGGGAGAAGAGGTGGATTCCCAAGGGTATTTGCACATAAGTTAATATAACAAATTCAAATGGAATTGGAACTTGGTGTGCTAATTAACAATTCTGAGACATTATCCATTACACCACCTGCACATTCAAGCTTACAGCACCTGGTATTCCAAAGTAGTCACCCATCTAGGTAGTGACCAGGTTCAACATTGTTTAACTTTGGTGAGCCTCCAGGAACCAGTGTTTCAACATGATGTGGCATAAAGATAAAAGTATAAAGTACTTAGAGAGGATGGAACTCTTTAAAATAGTACTGGTAAGCAAGTCTACTTTCTGGATTACTACTTCTTGGTGAAGTACTAGAGAAAAAAATTGTCACATTTTTGCATGCCATGTCCCTTCAGAACATAAACAATCATGGCTCTCCACAGATTCCTTTTGTTTACTGTTTGGGAATTGCCATGTGTTCTTGGGAAATATAGTGGAGTGGTTTCCTGGTGGCTACACCACATTATTATTTTTATTATTATTACTATTATATATTAGGGTGTATCAAAAGCATTTTCATTCTTTATCGACCTTTACTCTAAAGCTTATTTCATGTACACATCTAAAGACTATCTATGATTCCACTTTATTATTATTATTATTATTATTACTACCACTCTTATTATTATTATTACTATATATTCATGTGTATCAAATGTATCTTCATTTTTTAAAGCCCTTTACTTTAAAGCTTATTTCTAAAGATTATCTATGGCCACTATATTATTGATATTATTATTATTATTATTATTATTATTATTATATATTCAGGTGTATCAAAAGTATTTTCATTTTTTACAGACCCTTACTCCAAGGCTTATTTCATGAACATATCTAAAGACTATCTATGAATCCATTATATTATTAATATTTTTAAATGCTGGGTCCCTTCAGCATACAGGTGATCAAGGCCCTCTATAGATTCCTTTTTTTTATTATCTGAATTACCATAGTTTCTTGGGAAAGATAATGCTGTGGATATCTGTTGCTTTCTCGATGGTTTGAAATTCAGAGTTTACCTTCTATTAGACTGGTTGTCAGCCAATGCTTGAGAGTTCAGTCTACTATACTATTTAAGGTTGAGAAGAGGCTGATTAATGCCTTTCCTAAAAGAATTTGTAAAAGTGAATACAAGAGACTAGCCCTTGAATTTGAACTAATGAATATCCATTACACTACAAGCAAATTCCAAAAGATCTTTGTGTGTCTAAAATGCACAGTATGGCCATTGTTATATAAATTTAACTGCAGTTCACATAATTATGAAAAAGTTGGATTAATTGTTTTCCTTACCCCAATCAATTTGTTAAAAATTTGTGATTTTGAATTCAACAGGTTGTCAATTTTGTGTTTGTCAATTTAGTTTTGATACTGACAGCAATTAATTAAAAGCATAAATGGAATTTATTCAAATGAAAAAAATTGTTGGATTATGCAAGGATATTCAATAATATATTCTACAGACTATAAATGCAAACACATGCATCCACACACACATACACACAAATATATGAGCTGGTACTTATACACACACACACACACACACACACACACACACACACACACAAATATAATTGTATATATGAGATAAGGATATACATTTTTATATATCAAGAACAATATTATGTATTATATATCAGAATAATATATATATATATATATATATATATATATATATATATATTTTATTATAATTTTTTCATATAGACAAAAACAATTTACTCACTACAAGAGTATAAAAATGCAGCTTTTTTTGTTTATATGAAAAAATGATAATAAACAATTATTGCTCTACTATCGGTAGGTATTGAGCCCTCTTTTGAATTAATTTTAATAAAACTCAAAACATATGAAACTGGATTTATACATTTTCTTTTTTCTTGAGAAATGACAACAAAAATGTTAAACACTATTTATTTTTTAGATTGTTTCTTTACAAGAATATTTTTATTTTTACAAGATTATAAAGATATGTGAACCAACTACAAGGCAATATTTATTATTCACCATATTCTAAAGAAATAACTAAAAAGACAAATTATAAATAATGTTTAACATTTTTTTGTCAATTCTCACAACAAAAATGATAAATCCACTCATATATTTGGGTTTTATTAAAATTCTAAAAATATCTTTTTATAACAATACAAACTGCCAAGGAGGTATATAGTAATATTGGTGTGAAGAAAACAAAAAACATTCTTTTGAGACAATTTGTTTTGCAGGTTTATCAAACTTTGCTTAGTATTCTTTCTCCATTTCTTTGGCTATTTATGTCTCAGATGTTTTAAGTGCTTTTTTTTTGTTTTGTTTCCAAGACTTTCACATTTTGTTCCCATTTTCCTTCTTTTGGAGGTTAGACTTTTTTTATTCTTTTTTTTTTTTTTTTTTTTACCTAATCATGACTAATAAATCTTCTCCAGGTCGTTCCCACCTGCTAAGTCTTAATATCTCTCATGATAAGATATGATAGGTGAATTACCTCCCTTATTTTGGTACTAGTTTCTGTTTCTGTAATGTTGAGTCACTATTAGATATGGCAGTCTCTCTTGTACCTCAGATGGTGATTAATTTTCTTTCTTTTTTATCTTTATCTCAGCTTCTCTGGTTTCTCTATGTTAAATTTCTTTTCTTATTTGTTTTGATTTTATTTGTCTGAGATCCTTTCTCTCATCCACTCTCAATGGATTTGATTCTTCTTTTGGGAACATTGGCAGACCACCCACATATGAACAAACCCCTTCACACACATATACACAGCCCCTAGTTCAAGCCTGACTCTACATACTCAAATTTAATTGTACAAGAAGGCCTTAGTTTTCTGTTTCAGCAGTAAAATTAGTGGGGTTAGTTATCTTGATGTCAGCTTGCAAAACGTCAGCAGTTAGAACACAATTTATTATGATGCACCAAAAGTGAACTCTTCTTTATTTTATATGAGACTTTTAAACCGGACATATTGATTTTTTTTTTTTACTCTTAATTTTTTGTGGACATAATTCAGTCATCTTCAAACAATTCCACTATATTTTTTAAGGTGTAGAACCCAAAGACAGGCTATGCGACAAACATCTTGAAATATTTTCTCATATTTTTTTATCTTGTTATAAAGAGACTAACCTATCAAGCAGCAACAAACCAAATAAAATGTATAATGATAATAAAAAGAAATTTCAAAGGTAGTTTCATTTATCTCACAAATATTGTCCTCTCCCCTAAATAATACATTTTTTTCCCTCTTCCATTTCTGCAAAGGAAATGTTGTCCATATTTAAAGGATTGTTATTGTCACAATTACTAACATACCGCATATGACTAGCCAGTCTTCAAAATGATAAACATAAAAAATAAACATTCTAGAAAATTCTTCAGTACAAGATCTGCTGGTTTAACCTGCCAATCCAATACCTTACCTCATTATTCACTGAGTCACTCAAACCAGATGAGGGTCTTCCAGCAACCACTTCTCTCTTCTTGAGAATTCTTCAACCACAACTCCAAAATGGCATTTCAGTTTTATTCAATCATTTGATTTTTTTTTGTTTTGCTTCTTGTTTTCTTTTTCCCTTTTTCCTTTTTTTTTTATTAAAGGACCAACAGATGTGGACTTGACTTGTTTCAGTTCATTATCTCAGGTAAGATTAAATTTGAAGAATGGCTGAGAAAAAAATTGTTTCTTCTTAAAATTGATTCTAATATCCTGCTATTTTTTCCCTCCTTTGGCAAAATTGGTCTTCTCAATGAAACAGATGCGCTCAAACTACTAGAAACAATTTCAAGTCTGCAAGGAAGGTGAATACTTTTTTTTAATTCACTAGACTACTCACCAAACTCATGATAGCCATTTCTGCAAGGAAAAAAATGGATAGAATTGATGGCATCTATCTATCTATCTATCTATCTATCTATCTTTTTATATCTATATATCAATTTATCTATCTCAATCTCTTCATATCTATCTATATTAATCCTTTCATATCTATATATCTATCTATATCAATGTCTTCATATCTATCTATCTATCTATCTATCTATCTATCTATCTATCTATCTATCTATCTATCTCATTCTGTCCATGTCTATCTATCTATTTATCTATCTGTCTGTCCATATATATCTCAATCTCTTCATATCTATTCATATTAATCCATTTCTATCTATCTATCTATCTATCTATCTATCTATCTATCTATCTATCTATCTATGTAATTACATCAATAAACCTATAGTCTGATAATGAAAAAAGCATTTATTTTATACAACAAATATTTGTTTTTAAACATAATTTCATTCTTTGAAAATACCCTTAATCCTACGTTCTACCATTAATCACATAGATTGAAAATTATATGGTAAAATGTTCTCTTCAAAATTAATTAAAAAACACTAATAACTTTGTCTACCTAATGTAACCCCCACACACATAAATACACACACATATATAGAGAGAGTAATGTTCTGTTTTTAGATCTTATTAAACTGAAGCTTTTCATGCATCTGATGATTGATTTTATTGAAGCACAGATGGATTATATCATGTGCTCCACCTCCGTGACTCTTTTAGTTATGCATATTTGAATATGCAACAAACTAACTAATGTATCATTACACTATATGCAGCTCTATCCAGTGTATTCAACAAAATCAATTATAACAAGTATTTAATGGGAATTACATTTCAAATGTCATTAATTGTTTAAATTATATATGCATAAATATATATGTGAGAAAAGCTTTTTTACATCAAACATCTGGCACCCAGTATTAATCTCATCTTATTTACCAATGGAAATAATATGCTCAAAGTTTTTTTAAAATTGAAAGTTGCCAACTTGAATTCCAGCCATATTTTCTTACAGAATAAATACTACTACTATATAGGCATCACACAACTACATTTTAAAAAGACAACCAGGAAAAGAAATTAGCAACATTTAACAAAAAACTCCTTGATAATGGCTAAAGAAGTACTCAGGACAATAGACACTATGGACAATTTTTTTTTTCTTTATTCCCTCCTCCTACTTAACTCTTTAATAAGCAAATGTATTATTTTTTTTGTTTTCAAAAGTAAATCATTTTCATCAAACGTTACTGAACACTGCCTTATGATGGGATAAAAAATTTAACATCCTAAAACATAGAAATTTATGTGTTGCAATGTAAAATATTTTTAAATAAAAATATCATTAAAAATATTATGCTCTACATTGTATTGAGCAATTTAAAAAAAAAAAAAAATGCTAAAGAACTGTGGATTCTAAATCTGTTTGTTCTTTCTCTTCATTTGGATATATATATATATATATATATATATATATATATATATATATAGATAGATAGATAGATAGATAGATAGATAGATAATAATGCTCCAATGTTGACAGAAAAGACCTAATAACAAACTTATCCAAATTACAATTACTAATGTTTACACAATCAGAAAACTGTTCTTATTCTTAGGTGAGCAATATTATTGCTTCTTTAAGATGATTTGATTTATATTTATATATATATATATATATATATATATATATATATATATATATATATATATATATATTTAATATATGTATGTATGAAAAAAATATACGGAAAAAACAAACAAAAATCCTTATATACAATTTATACTGTTTTAATGTTAATATGTCAACGTCGGACGTTTCGGTCTAATAAACCATCTTCAGGATATATTCATAAAATATAATTAACATTATCAATACAACATGACAAAGACGATGTACATAGGAACAAGACTTATCCAAACAAATAACTGAAAGTTTTATAAGATCATGTATGTATGTATGCATGCACTAGGGTGTGCAAGTCAAAGTCAGAGTGACCCATAGATATTCACACAACCAATGAATCCCATGTTGTGGTTGGGGGAGTTTAAGTGAAGGGCTGGACATGTCAGTGATTGTCATATTCACTTTGTGAGTCGACAGCCAGTATATACATGCATGTATGCGTGTGTGCATGCATATGCATTATATAATGTCTCATATATTATTCATTGTACATGCATATATATATATATATATATATATATATATGTGCGTGTGTGTTTGGTGGGGTCATTTCATAATAATTCCTCTTATTTTATTAAGTTAGTCCACAATACCACAACTGGATGATGACAGATAACAGCACTGATTAATCGTTGCCCTCAATAACCCATTTTGTCTTGTTACATATAGCAGTCTATCAAAATGCTGTCTGCCATGTGAATATATACAAGGTATTGATATATCATTGAATCCCTCCATGCAGAAAAGAAGCACCTATTGACTTTCTTCAAGGTTTACTGAATGTTTATAGAGACGAAATACTGATTTTGAGCACAGTTAGATAGTAGGTAATGTGTTGCAAACAGTGAAACATGTTACAACCCACAGTGTGCATGGTCTTGTATAGCTGCCAAACTCTATAAAGTTGAGCAGATTAAAAATATATAACCATTAGCTATGGTGATGCTTAAAATAGTGTTTTGCATCTTTATAACTAACACTGTCTGGGAAAATGTCTTGAAAAAGCTAAACAAAATATTAGGAAACAAAAAATTTCTATTAGAAGCAAAGCAAAAAGAGTTCTGAACTGCAATGTAATATCAATCTTCTTGTATGACAGTGAATGATTGAAAATTTCTTCACAGATAAAGAAGAAACTCAAGATAACAGAGATGTGGTTCTGCAGGATGCTCAGAATACCATGGACAGAGCATGTAAGCAACAAAGATATGTTATAGAGGAAGGAACACATACAATTACGATCAGTTGAAATTTCTGGGACACATAATAAGGAATGAGAGCTTGGAGAATTAATCACACACAGGACATGTTGAAGACGAGAGGGGCAGAAGGAAACACTGAGTAACCTACCCAACATGGTTGCGTAAATGGATGACAGAACAGGTAGTAGGAGGGATAGGAAAAAGACAAATATTACTAAGGGCCCCAATGGATAGGAGAGCCATGATCGTCTTCGTACTGAAGGTTTTACCAGTACATAAAAGAAGAGTTAACAACATTAGTATCCTTCTTGTGTCTGTTGTAGCTGCTGTGGAAATGAGAGGCATTATTTACAGAGCATCCCTCACACACACACACACACACACACACACACACACACACACACACACACACACACACACACATATCATATCTGCCATATTCAATGAATGAAATGTGCATATATATATATGTGTGTGTGTGTGTGTGTGTGTGTAAAGAACAAACTCACTCATATTTAGAGGACCTATATTTTCAAATTAAATTAAATTTGAGTTAAATGTTTTTCAGTTAAATTTCCAATTAAATTAACTGATTTGATTGCAATTAAATTAAGTTGAATTGCAATAAAACTACTTATTAATGGCTTCCCACCGATAAAACATTGACTGTTTAATGATGACAGTCTTAATTATCAAATAATCCACAGTCACTAAGTTGAGCAGTGCTGCATTTAATTATAAACTTTTGCAATGATTTTATAACGAGTGAATCTCTTAATTTTATTTCTTGACATCCTCTTCTCAGTGTGATAATTACAATGTTAAATGATATAATATAATGATGATATAATGTAATTATAATATAATGATAATTATAATATTAAATGATATGTTATTATTATTATTATTTATTAACATACTAATTTTCACTTAATCCTTTGAGAAATTTTCACCTAAATTTCTTGAGTATATCTATATATTTAGAATATTTAATTATTTATTTTTCATTTTTTTTAAAACCTTTTAGTTTATAGCGACATGCCCATATACAAAAAATATCACATAACATCTTTTTAAACACACAGTAAAAAATGGACGGTTCAGTGTGAAAGTGAAACAAAAGTACTTTGTTTATTTACAATAATTTGTTATGTGAAAAGGCGAGAGTAAGGGATTGCTCAAAATATTCTTTTAAGAGCTTAATGAAATTAAGCCTGGAAGAGAAAAATGTCCTTAAGCATGTGGGGACTTACAGTAATAGGAGAAGTTATAAAAATCCTTACTAGAAAGAATAAAGTATCAGTGAAATTCTCAAATACTCAGACAGTCCTTTAGAAAGAGAGTGTATTTCTCAATATTCCTGAGCCATTTGGAAGTTGAAAGGTAGATTTAGGGACAGGAGTGTCCATTTGATGAATGGAAGAAGTTGCAAAGTGATTAGCATTTGTGGAAAATGTCTAGAAGTTGATACAGCCTTGTAAATTTATAATTGAAAGGAGAAGGTTGAGTTTGTATTATTAAGAAGTGTGGAGGCACAGTGGAGTAATGTTTAGCAACTTGGAATGAGGAATCAGAGAGCTGAGTTCAAATTCCAGTTGAGTTTTTTTACACTCACTGATGTGTTAATACCCTTAGGAAAGGTATGAGTCCATCTCTTCCCTCCAGCTATGAGTAAATAGCAGAAGAGACTGGGCCATATGGTCTTGGTTTGCAACCAGTCTGCGAGAAGGAAAACCCTGAATTCAAACCATTCTGGAGAGATTCAGGCTGACTTCCTCTTGAAACACCAGTGTTGCTATAGTTGCAGTAGATATGGGGCTCTTATGACACTAGGGATTATGGGATTCATGATGTCTAAGTGACAACTGGAACAAATTTTTATTTATTTAAGAGAATCCTAAATGTTTTAGCAATAGAAGATTAGAGATCTACACAAAACCAGAATTTATCTTGCACATTTAAACATTCATCCACACATCAAATATTGCCACCACATTTGGTCTGGTGTTTCTGTTAGAGATTCTTAACACAATCCAAAGCAGAATTTGCAATGTTATCGATCTTTATCTGGCATCTCAGCTTCAGTCACTTTCTCACCTCTGTAATGTAGCTTTCTTGTGCCTTTTCCATAAATATTTTCTTGGTAATTGTTCTTTAGTAGCTCAGCTTCTCAATTTTAAGCAGGGTACTAGATTGACAGTTAGATCTCATTATTTTACTTTTGAAATTCCTAGTTGCAACCGTAAGTTCTAGGCTAAGTTACTTCTGCATTTCTAGTTTGTGGAACTCTCTTCCAGCTTCCTGCCTTCTTGTCAACCACAATGTTCAAAAATTTAAATACAATGTAAATAGTCATCTTATATATATATATATATATATATATATATATATATATTTGGTGTAGCAGGATATCTGATATCCACTGATGATGAGTAGAAGGAGTGATTCATGGAGAGTCTGTCTACAAAACTC